CCAGGTTGCTAAATTTCTTATCCATATCGTGACTTTATTTGTTTGTCTGAATCTTCTTTGAGGTCATACATCTTTTAAAATAAGACTCTAAGCTTGAACATTAGTCGCCGGCATTTCTACCGTCTCGTTGTCTTGGGCCGCTGGAGAGCTGTGAGCTTCTGCAGCTGTGTTTTGTATCACAGTGTAACGTCTCACAATCTTATGTTTTTATGTGGCAGTCTGTGTACCTGGCACGGTGAATATCTTCCAGCTTTGTGTGGAGGAATTCTTAATGAGACCCTTCTCTGTAGGCCTCAGTCGCCATCACCACTTGGAAAGAGAAAACAACCTTCAAAATATCAGCTGCGGGAGGACTGAGCCCTGGCGGGTGTCAGCTCAGAAGACCTCCGTCTTTGCAGTGGGAACTGCTGCAGGGGCTGACAAGCTTTGCTGGCTGGCCTGACTCCAACCAGCTGCAGACAGACTCGAGTCTGCGCCTAGTGGTGACAAATAGCCACACTAAGGCCTCGTGAGCTTTTCTACATCCGGTTCGGCGAGTTGGTCGGCATGGCGCTTGTTCAGCTCACATTTGGGCAGTCATGCTGGTGAGCCTTCATGGGTGTGGCTTCTGAGGTCACCACAAGACACCCTCTCACAGCAAACTCCCTGATCTTCTGTCTCTTCCCATCTTTCTGTCCCCTCTTCCACAGTGTTCCCTGGGCCACTGAGACTGGGCTCCAGGAACTATAGGCAAACAAGGAAAGCTGGGAAAGGGAAGGATGGTCTTCCCCAGGGAAGGGCACAACTGGTTGCTCAATGTCAGACAGCCCTGAAACCCACAAACAGGCAGCATTGTACAGACTAACGAGGTCACATTTAGAAACATGTATGCATTTAACTATTGTGGTGGTATGAATGAGAATGGTCCCCATAGGCTCATATATTTGAATGCTTTATCCCCAGTGAGTGGAACTACTTGAAAAGGACTAAGAAGTATGGCCCTGGAGTAAGTGTGTCACTGGGGGTGGGCTTTTGGATATCAAAAGCCAATGCTAGGCCCTCTCTGTCTGTGTGTCTGTCTATCGGTCCATATGTATATGTGTGTTTCTCTCTGTGTCTGTCTCTCTATATCTCTGTCTCTCTCTATCTCTCTCTCTGACTACAGCTTGTGGATCAGATGTGAGCAAACAAGTCACTGACTTCTATCCTGGAGAGCAAGAGCTCAGTGGGAGAAAGAGCCTCGTAGAGGGAAGATATGACATGAGAGGAAAAGGAAAACTCGTGAGCTAGAAGTGTTTCTTTGAGACATTACATACTCCCCCCTCCGCCCATAAAGCCAGACCAATCCACCCTGCCTTGGTCTCTGTCCTATTCAGCGTCCCCCAGGCAAGGAATCCTTTTCCTTCTCCCCAGGCCAAAAGTCCTGGGTTGCCGTGGCCTTGCAAGCAGCAGTTTTTATAGCCTGAGCAATGCAGAGGGTTGTCCATCTGACCAAGAATCTGGGACAGAGGAGGGCTTCCCGCTCTGTGCCTAACACGAGAGAGATTCAGAAGTGGGTAATAATCCCATTGCACACATAGGCTGGGCGCCTGCGTGTGTGTGTGTTCGTGTTCGCGACACATGATCTCATTCTCACAGGCTTTCTCCGAGAGGCCTGGGGTCTGCTGACCTTGGCTCTTTGACACTGGTTCATTTGCTCATTACAGCCAGCCTTCCTAACCAACACTGCTCCTACCTTCAAAGGCCCATCTGTGCCTGTGTGTCAGCTCGTTGGGTAAACTTACCTTTCAGTAAGAACTACCCGGAATAAATTATCAAGATGAGTTCATCTACTGTTCAATACAATTTCCACCAAATTACCAACACAGTTCTTAACAAGCCTTGAGAGAAAAATTGTCAACTTCATATGGAACAACAAGAAACTCAGAATCGCTAACACAATCCTCTACAATAAAAGATCTTCTGGAGGTATCTCCATCACTGATCTCAAGCTATATTATAGAGCAACAGTAGTAAAAACTGCATGGTACTGGCATAGAAATAGAATATTGGATCAATGAAATCAAATAGAAGACCCTAAAATAAACCCACACATATATATACTCCTGATTTTTGACAGAGATATCAAAACCATACAATGGAAAAAAGACAGCATCCTCAACAAATGGTGCTGGTCTAACTGGATGTCTACATGTAGAAAAATATAAATAGATCCAAACTTATCACCCTGCACAAAGCTAAAGTCCAAGTGGATCAAAGACCTCAACATCAAACCATATACACTAAACCTGTTAGAAGAAAAAGTGAGGAAGAGCTTTGAACTCATTGGTACAGGAGACAACTTCCTGAACAGAACACCAACAGCACAGGTTCTAAGATCAACAATCAATAAATGGAACCTCATGAAACGGAAAAGCTTCTGTAAAGCAAAGGACACTGTTGTCAGAACAAAACAGCCTACAGATTGGGAAAGGATCTTCACCAAATCTGTATCTGGCAGAGGGCTAATATCCAGAATATATAAAGAACTCAAGAAGTTAAACAGCAACAAATCAAGTAATCCAATTAAAAAATGGGGTACAGAGCTAAACAGAGAATTCTCAATAGAGGAATATTGAATGGCAAAGAAACACTTAAAGAAATGCCTAACATCTTCAGCCATCAGGAAAATGCAAATCAAAACGACCCTGGGATTTCACCTTACACCCATCAGAATGGCTAAGATCAAAAACTCAAGTGACAACACATGCTGGAAAGGATGTGGAGAAAGGGGAACCCTCCTCCATTGCTGGTGTGAATGTAAACTTGTACAACCACTTTGGAAATCAATCTGGCACTTTCTCAGACAATTAGGAATAGTGCTACCTCAAGATCCAGCTATACCACTCCTGGGCATATACCCAAAAGATGCTCAAGTATACAACAAGGACATTTGCTCTACCATGTTCATAGCAGCTTTATTTGTAATAGCCAGAAGCTGGAAACAACCCAGATGTCCCTCGGTTGAGGAATGGATGCAGAAATTGTGGTACATTTACACAATGGAATACTACTCAGCAATTAAAAATAAGGAAATCATGAAGCTTGCTGGTAAGTGATCATCCTGAGTGAGGTATCCCAGAAGCAGAAAGACACACATGGTATATACTCACTTATAAATGGATATTAGACATGTAATATAGGATAATCATACTAAAATCTGTACACCTAAAGAAGCTAAGCAAGAAGGAGGACCCTGGGTAAGATGCTCAATCCTCATTCAGAAAGGCAAACGGGATGGGCATCAGAAGAGGGAGAAAACAAGGAACAGGACAGAAGCCTACTACAGAGGGCCTCTGAAAGACTCTACCCTGCAGGGTATCAAAGCAGAGGCTGAGACTTATAGCCAAACTTTGGGCAGAGTGCAGGGAATCTTATGAAAGAAGGGGGTGATAGAAAGGCCTGGAGGGGACAGGATCTCCACAAGGAGAAAAAAAAATCTGGGCCTAAGGGTCTTTTCTGAGACTGATACTCCAACCAAGGACCATGCATGGAGATAACCTAGAACCCATGTAGCCCATGGCAGCTCAGTGTCCAAGTGGGTGTCCTAATAATGGGAACAGGGGCTGTCTCTGACATGAACTCAGTGGCTGGCTCTTTGATCACCTCCCCTTATGGGGTGGAGCCTTACCAGGCCACAGAGGAAGACAATGCAGCCAGTCCTGATGAGACCTGATAGGCTAGGTCAGAGAGAAGGGGAGGAGGACCTCCTGGATCAGTGGACTCGGGGAGGGGCATGGGAGGAGAAGAGGGAGGGAGAGAGGGATTGCGAGGAGAGGAGGGAGGGGGCTACAGTTGGGATACAAAGTAAATAAGCTGTAATTAATTTAAAAAATAAATTAAAAAAAAGAAAAGAAAAGCTGGGCTGGTACATCACGGCCCTCAGAGGGCTCACAGACCCTCATGGTGAGGGAGAAAATGAAAGACGCACAGGAGCAGCCAGAGCACGCACATCCCTCTGAACCAAGCCTTCTTCTTGGAAGAACAAGTGCGGAAATAATGAAACGTAAGTCGCAAAGAGAATGTCAACCTGTGAGAGGTTCTGAGACGCATGACAGCAGCTGCCAGCACCAAAGCCACGCTCTCGGAACAGGAGGAGAGCAGAGAGAAACTGGCAGACAGCCATGCAGCGCGTGGCAGGGGCTGTGGTTCCCGCAGCCCTGCTGCCTTGCCCTCTGCTAGTAAGGAGAACACGAAAGCTGAGTTCTCCTTAACATCGCAGGGAGGAAACTGAAGCCAAAAATATGGTGGTTTTGTTTTTTTTTTTTTTTAAGTATTTTAAAAATTGTACAGCTAAAGTTAGCTCGGGTTCCCAAGCCCTGAAAAACAGAAAGATGGAGGCACCAGAAGCTTAAACACAAAAGAATTCTTGTCAGCCTTTATCCAAAAAGGGTGTCTTGGTTAGGGTGACTATTGCTGTGATGACCGAAGCAAATTGGGGAGTGGAAGGTTTATATGGCTTATTCTTCTTTATCAGTGAAGGAGGTCAGGACAGGAACTCAAGCAGGGCAGGAACCTGGAGGCAGGAGCTGATGCAGAGGCCATGGAGGGGGCTGCTCACTGGCTTGCTCCCCATGGCTTGCTCAGCCTGCTTTCTTAGGGAACCCAGGACCACAGCCCAGGGATGGCTCGTCCCACAACAGGCAGGGCCTCCCCATCAATCCACAATTAAGAAACAGTCCTGCAGGTCTTCCTACAGACTAATCTCATGAAGGCGGTTTCTCAATTGAGGCTCTGCCCTCTAAGATGGCTCTAGCTTGTGTCACGTTGATATCAAACTACAAAGCACAAGACATAAGAAATCAATTATTTCAAAAATCACAGTTTAAATTGCTGTGCATTCTAGATAAACTGCTGACAGGTTATTAGAGAGATGGTTGGGACCTCAAAGTAAGAGATAAAAAGTAAAAGTTAATCACTGGGAACCAGGATGGATAACAAAGTAAAAGGGAGCTAGAGGAAGAGAATACAGGAAGAAGTACCTTCAAACTGGCCAGAGTGTCTTCCCGGCGTCTGACGCCTGCATTTGAGGCCTCTGAGACATCCTGTAAATTGTCAGCTTAAACTAGTAAAAGTCTAAGTTACTCATACCCAGAGGTAGGGAAACTGTGCTGGCTAATTTCATGTCAGCTTGACACGAGCTGGAATCCTCTGAGAGGAGGGAGCGCCGGCTGAGGAAACGCCTCAGACAAGCTGCCACAAGCCTGCCTGGCATTTTCCTAATTAGTATTGATGGGCAGGGCCGGTCCATTGTGGGCGGAGCCTCCTTTAGGCCGTGGTCCTGGTTCCCTAAGAAAGCAGCTGAGCTGGCATGGGAGCACGCCAGTGAGCGGCCCCCTCCATGGCCTCCGCCTCAGCTCCTGCTGCCACGCCTCCCACCATGACGGACCTAAGCCAAACCAGGCTCTGCCTTAAGTTGCCTTTGCTCACAGTGTGCTGTCACCAACAGGAAGGCAACTGCTACAGGCTGGTTGGCTCTGCTGCTTCTGAGCTTCTGGTAAAGCAGCCACTCATCACAGAGAGAGCGTGTGATAGAGGCAACTGCTCACTTCAAGGGCAAAAGAGACAAAGCCGCCAGGGCCCCTGTGCCTCCTTTCAGAGTATTCAAGGGCCTTGTAGGATACACATTGTCCTCTGGGCAGATCGGATCCGCTGTGCCTGCTTTCCGGAGACCGTCACAGCTAGGTGGTCAACTGTTGACATTCCTCAGAGAAGTAGGAGGGGGAAGAATCCTTAGACCCTAGTCCAAGAGTCCAGCCATACTCACTGGGGGACATTAGCTGGAGGGCCTCCAGCTGCGCAGCAACCGGGAAGCCATTGTCCGCACATGTGAAGACTCTCTGGACAGCCAGGCTCCTGCCAGAACCCCTGAACCAAGCTCTGGGCGTAACCCTGTGAGTCCTCAGCTCCCTGGGATAAACTTTGGTGGCATGGTGCTTGGTTGTTGTTGAGACCTTACCAGGAGAGGAAAGACGTTTGTTTCTCCAGGGAAGGAATTCTCCAAATCTCAATTAAACTCCTTAAAGGTTCTACCACCTCCAGATAGCCCCACTGGCTAGAGACCAGGACTCCAACACAAGGAATCTTGGAGGACATTCTAGATCCAAATGGTCACAGGAGATGAAGCTTAGAATGGCAGAAGCTAGGTCAAGACAGCCTTGGGATGCAACAGCAGTAAGACCTCATTGTCTGAACAGCCGAACCAGGGTTTCCTGTTACTACAAATTTTTATTCTACTTAGAAGCTGCTTGCTGATGGCCTCAGTGTCACAGAGTCTACAGTTAACATGCTACAAAAGGCTAAAATGATCTCCTGCTCCTGAAAATGGAGGGCAGAAGAAAATGGGGTACAGTGTGCCGCTGGAGATTAGTAGAGTGAAGAAACTTGATGGAGTAGCCAAAAAAGCATCTCAGAACAGGAATGTCTGCCATGCAGCATGAAGCCACTGTCCTGATGCAGCCTAAGCCTGCCAGAACCAGCTTTGAGCTCGCTGAGTTTGTGGTGAAATTCTCTAGGACTGTGCATCCATCATTGGTAAAGGAGTTTAACAAAAGGATTCAGATAGGAGCGACTGCAGAGGTCTGCCTACCCAAACTCGGGGTGCTAATGCTCCCTCAGAGAAGAATGTGGACTTTCTAGGCCTTGAAGTGCCCTACCTCAGCTCTCAATAGGTCTGCAACTCAACTCAGGGATGCTATCAATTGAGCACAGAAGAGCTTTGACTTGGTCTTGGGAATAGTGGAAAGGCACAGTGGTAGCCAGGGTGCAAAGACGGCCATGCTCAGAGAGTAGGAGAAATGACAGTTCTGTACCTTTTGTTACAGGTATTTGAAATCTAGAAGTCTAAAGTTAAACTACAGATGAGCTTCTTTTTAATTAAATCGGGGTCAACCTACCAAAAACGTACTTTTAAATTCAAGTTCAACCATAAGGCTAGAAAGCTATGACCACTGATGGTCACTAATCATCCTGCTGATACTCATTGCAGGACAGTCTGGAAAGGAAACCCCTGGAGGAGAAGAAAGTACACTAGAAAGGACCACAGTGTTAGCATGATCCAAAACAACAAGAAAGAATGAAAGCTGCAGAGAGCCAATAATAAAGGAACAAGATGGGGGGGCAAGCCCAGAACTAACCATTGACACGACATGGAACACCTGTCCTGAAGCCCTCTACCCACACTCAAGATGCTGTGCACCAGCCGTGCCTCAGGTGAAGCGCTGTGCCCAGGCTGGAGCTCTGCCGGCTCATCTGCTCAGCATCTCCCCGTGCTGTGGTTCCTGGCCACAGGAAGGCAGAGACACAAAAACTAGCGCTGCTAAGCTAATGTGAAAGAGGGAAAGGCAAGTAGCTGGGGTGAACGAATAGGGTTCCATGGAGTGCATGAGAGAGACTAGAAACAGTTGTTCATGCAGCTACTTACATATCTGACCCTACATATGTGTTAAATCTGCACAACAGTCAAGTTATTAACTTCACTTTATAAAAGTGGAAACAGAGGTATAGTTTACTTATCCATGGAGGCCCCAGACACAACAAGGCATCTCCAACTAAGCATTAGAAGTCATCATTCTCATCATTGTCATCCTCGTCATCATGGTGATTATCATTGTCATCATCACCACCATCATCGCCATCATCACCATCACCATCATCACCACCATCACCATCACCATCATCATAGTCATCGCCATCATCACCAGCACCATCATCACCACCACCACCATCATCACCATCATCATAGTTACCATCACTGTCGCCACCATCATCATAACCATCCCTGTGGTAGTTATCATCAGTGCTGTTGTTATCATCGCCGCCTGTACAGCTCCTGGCATGTAACCGGCACTATTAGTCACAAATATTCACAATTACCCTTTGCATGTACATATGCTTGTGCCTATATGGGGGTAGGTGGGTGTGAAATACTCTCTTGTAAACAATCGGCTTGTGTGTTTTCTGTTGGTGTTGCTTCGTTTTTGAAATAGTCTCACTCTGCAGCACAGGCTGGCCTAGAATGGATGTATCCGAGTCTGGCGCCCACTCTTGGTCATCCTGCCTCAGTCTGCCCAGTGCTGGACTAGGTTGTGCTGCACCCCACCGTCACGCTAGATTGAGTCTTCACAGATGTTTTAATGGTCAGCTTTCTCCTCAGGTCACATAAACCTTTCTCTTAGACATGTTTCGGTTTATTAAAAAGGTTATGGAATACAGACAGGCCCCACACTCCTACCCCAAATCTTATTACACATCCTAGTTCCCCAGTTACTAACATCTTGCTCTGGTGTGCTTCTGTTATCGCTGATTCCCCAACACTGTTCTTCCTTTACAGGCTGGTGATGGGGCCAGGGCCTCGTGCGTGTTAGGCATGTGTCCAGTCTGCTGCTGATGTACTATTAACTAAACTCTACAACATGCATAGTTCAGTTTTCACAAGGGGACAGTGGCATGCATTTAGCTCCACGGTGTCACGTGAAACAGGTTTACCACATCTGTAACTTCCACGACCCCCATCCATCCATCCCTCTTCCCTCTCAGTCAGTGGCTCTCATCCCAGGGTTGCGACCCCTTTGGGAGTCAAGTGACCTTTCACAGGGGTCACATATCAGGTGACCTGCATATCGGGTGTTTACAGTACAATTCACAACAGTGGCGAGATTACAGTTATGAAGAAGCAATGAAATGCTTTTCTGGTGGAGGTGGGGAGGTCAGCCCATCATGAGGAGCTGCAGTCACATCATCGGGAAGGCTGAGAAGCGTGCCTCTAGTCCTTGGCAAGCAACGATTGCTTTTGCTTTGCTCAGTTTGCCTTTTTCAGAATGCTGTGTGGTTGAAATTTAAAATTTAATAGACCCTTTTATTGTGACTTCTTTCACTTGGCAATCTGTTCTTCAGATGCCCTTGTGTAAGCTCTGTGGATAGCATTCCCTTGTGTAGGTGGGCACACTCACGCATTGTAGGCCGTATCAGCCACTTCCTTGTATAGGCGAGCACACTCACCTATAGCGGGACATATCAGCTGCCTCCGAGTCTTGGTAACTATGAATTAACCTGTTATAAACGTTGGTGCTCACACTCTGTAATGGAGATGTTCTCAACTCATCGGAACACATACTAAAGACCACAACCGCTAGCTGTGTTTCTTTTTACGAGAATGAGCAAACGTTTTCCAAAAACGATGATGCTGTTTTGCCTTCCCTCCAGCAGGGAGTTAGAGTTCCGCCGCTCTGCACCTTCACCAACGCCCTGGATTTCCGCTCTTCTGACAGACGGGAGCATCTTCTCACTGTTTTAGCTTCGAGCTCTCTGAGGGAGCGTCTGTGTTCAGGTCTCTACACCACTCGTCCAGATCTCCTGCCAAGCTTAATTGGGTGAACCATCTCATTCCTAACGAAGGCAACTGAGAGGCTCAACAACGTCCCCAAGCTCCACACAGCTGAGACTGAGCCCGGACAGGAGGCCCAGGGCCTGCATTCCTGCCACCTTGCAGTGTTGCTTCTGGAGGCATCTGGCAGCCAGCAGGCCTGCACCAGCGCCACCTCTGCAATCTGCTAAGTGGTCTAGCCTTTGTCAGTTACCTAATCTCTTCTCCGCAATACAAAGGTTACAGGCCTTAGTGTCCTAGTGAGGATTCAATGAGCCAAAGCAGAGACAACGCTGAATCTGTTCTCTGCACTTAGCACCTGTGGAGAATGATCGCTATGACCAGAGCAGAGCCACACAGAAGAAGGAAGGGCAGTAGCAGCTGTAAGCAAAGCTTCTCCCTGGAGACTGCGTCAGGGCGGCCTGAGCCTTTAAAGCTTGTGGGCTTGCTGAGGTTTTACAGTCAGCGACTAGCTGAGACCTCACTGGTTCTGAAGTCCATGAATAGAATGTGTTGTCTTCAGTTTTCTGTTTATCTTTCCACTTCTGCTTCCTGGGGGAAGTCACAGTTCTATTAGCCTTGCAATTAATGAAGCATATCTGCAACCAGACGCGCTCTGTTTGCATCTCCAGAAACTCGCACGGCAGCAGAAAGAAAGTCAACCAAGCACCTGATGTGAGGAGCAAGGGCGGTTCTGAAACCATGAGTGTTCTGGGTTGAAATGACCTTAAAACAATATTCTTCAGTGTGTGTGAGGGGGTGGGGTTGGATATAAGAACATTCATCGTAAATGTAGAAAACTGGCTAGTTATACTTGGCTCTTCAGAAGCAAACAGAATCAGCATTTTCTGAAATTACTCTCTAATGAAAGGGAACCTTCTGGTGATGTTCCATTAAACGATCCAGCTGTCAAACCACCTACGTAATATTTACGTCTGTACCCACAGATTTGCACTGCTCTCAGCCCTGGTCAGAGGTGTTTCTTTCTGCAGTGGGAAACGGTAAAGGCTAGGGGCTC